TATAACAGTGAGCTGTGAAACCCAGGGTACCCTCCCTACCCACATACTTAACACACTGTGTATAACAGTGAGCTGTGAAACCCAGGGTACCCTCCCTACCCACGTACTTACCATACTATATATAACAGTGAGATGTGAAACCCAGGGTACCCTCCCTACCCACATACTTACCACACTGTATATAACAGGGAGCTGTGAAACCCAGGGTACCCTCCCTACCCATGCACTTACCACATTGCTGAGCAGTCAAAGGTCACCCGCAGCCATTTGTGAGGATTGAAGTTAAATGAATCTGCAAACTGAAACAAACAGGGTATTCTTTATAATACTTTATCATTCCTGGTATAAAAACATAATTTTCATAAAAATGAATTTAATTCCAGAACTCCTTACTGGCTGTTTCTTGTTTTAAAATTCAATATTCTGTTTAACATAATTTTACCTAAAACATATTTGCCAAAAGACTGCTTTCTAAGGGTTCCAACAATATAATATAATATAATATAATATAATATAATATAATATAATATAATGCTTGAGGACACTGGCTTAGAGAACATAACTCAGCTTGCCAGTCTCATGGAATACAGCAGGGTCTGGAAATCTATTTGTGGTGTTGCTAATTCATGATGTTGATGGTCGACTGCAGTTGACATCATTGACTGATTGATAATAACGAGCTCACCTGCACTCCACTGAGAAGGTATCGAAATTCAGGACAAATGAAGGCACTGCCAGCATACGCAGCATCAATGTGGAGCCAAATCTTCTCTAAGTTACACACTGCCCCCAGCTCCTCGATGCTGTCAAAGGCACAAGAGGGTGTGGTCCCCAAAGTGCCACACACCTGAAAATGTACAATGTTGGAGACACTATTCTTTTGCATTATCAGTGAAAAAATAACCATATATTTTAATTGCACCCTTAATTAGGGAATACCTGCAATAGAGTTTAAAGAAGTTGATGTAATTATTAGTAGAGGCTTTCACTTTACCTCATCATTTCTCATTTCTTGATCTGAGAATATGAAATTGATTAAATTTCATATCCAGACTAAAAGTACAATTTAATTATATTGCTGAACTTACAAAGAAAGGTATCAAGCCCTTTTCCTTATCTTTTTGTACAGCCTGGGCTAATGTCTCTCCTCGTAATGACTGCTTCCTGTCAGAGGAAAGTTTGACTATTTTTACTGCACCCAACAAACCAGCACGCTCCACTGAAGAATGGGCCTGCAAAGATTACAATATATACATCATTTTCTATTTAATCAAACTATTTCTTTTCTCTTTTTATTCATAGATACTTGTACAGATGATTTACTTTTGTAAATTTTGTAAATACTAATAATAAAGTAATGCAAAAATAGGAGAATAAGTGAAAAATAAAATAATTGTCACTTAATGCAAAGTTTGCAAAACGAAAATCTGTCTGAAATATATGAAAAGAAACATGGATGGACTAATGTACAAACAGATAAAATGACTTCACAGGAGTGAAACCATAGCAACAGATAGAGAGAGAGGTAAAAATACTGAGAAATAAACCAAAACCTTTGAAATCAATATATAAACATGACATAAAATCACCTGATCAGAGCAGTAGCCCACCATTCTGGCCATGATGTCTGCCTCTGTCAGTGCTGGGTTGGCTTCCTTCTCTCTGTGGATGGTTTGATTCCTGGCAGCTAACAGGGCAACCAGAGTGGCTTCACTAGCAGTACCCTGAGGGAGGGGCATCAGAAAAATTATATAAATACAGAGAAAATAAATTTTAGATTTACCATAAAAATTTCTATTCTCAATTATATAAAGTTAAGTAAATATGATTCAATAAAAGAAACTTTATTCAAAGTTCAGAGACCTGCAGGTTAGTCTTACAGATAAAGCTTGGACCGAGTAAAAAAAGTGATATAATTCATACCTGGATGACCCCACCCCCTTTCCCTCCAGAACAGAAGAGGAACTCCTGAGGCAAGTCCAACATCTTCCCCAGCCAGTCCATCATCACCATCTCCAGCTCTGTGCAGGCAGGACTTGATGCCTGCAACAACATTGACACTACTGTACTCAAAATTTTATTTTTGAAAGAAAGTTGAATTTGGTATTGATCCGGAGAATATCTGTGCTTATTGGCTATTTTATGCAGCTAAATAAAAATCCTACAAAATGCTGCATTTTTTGTTGTTGTTCCAAAAAGATCATGTTCTGATTGACTGTCTTTTGACATTATAATCAATATTAGTGCAACATTTACTCCACACCTTATAAAGGTAAACACTACATACAACAAATCTGATTCCGTTTCACTAAATAATATCTTATTAATAATAAGGAAAGCCACAAGCTGAATCTACAGCACAAGACTCTTTTTTCCAGAGTTGTCAGACAATGATGGCTTTCACCACCTTCATACCAGTACAGATAGCATACATTTCTGTTACTGTTATTAACAGTAAAGACAATCCTGATTATAGATGTAATTAAGTTCAAAACTGGCAGTGAAACTTGGTATGCTGTGGTGGTACGTACACCCACTCCCATTACGGATCAATATTCTGGGTTAAAATGTTTCTGCTGTCCCAACTATGTAAACTTACAAGCTTCCTTTTCATTTTCCACCTGATCAATAGACTAAGTACGTTTACCACTATCAAATCAGTGCAATTCTGACTCTTTATCCTTGGAGGTAAATTAACCTTCTTAGATCAATATTAAGCAATGTGTATGCGAATAAATGAATGGTAATATAAATGAGTTTATATCCCACTGTTCCATAAAGATCAGATCAATAATGTTTAATTTGAGTTTGTCATCTCACAAAATCTTGTTCATGTCAGACGAAGGTCGTTGCAATGGTTCATAAGCCATTTTATGTCTGATTCTGTAAATTAAGGCTTTCACCTTCCACATTTGCTCTACATTTATTGGCTCAATATTGGAAAAATCAATTTCCATTAAATTACCATTTTATTCAAATCACTAGTTGTTAGCTCTTATCAGAAAAGAATTCAGAGCAGCATTTCAAACAGCCAAACCACTTGTTTGTAAATAAAATTTCCATCTGGGATTAATTTCTCTAATTTCATAATTATAGTAACCATCTCTCATAAAGTAAAAATGTCTTGAAAAATTGACTTTTTAGTGTGAATAAAAGGACTGAGAGACTTCTTTGAAATTCTGGAACCCAAAACATGTATAAAACACTTAATAAAAGTTCTTAAATCTATACAGCCTATAGCACCTGCCACTTGTGAGACTCCAAAGTAAAATTCATGACAGAACATACTTACCCAGCTAAACCCTATACAACCTATTGCATCTGACAGCATATCAGCACACAAGGCAGCATAAGAGTTGGCAGTTGGGAAATATGCATGGAACTGGGGGTGGTGCCAGTGTGTTACCTGGAATCATTTTTTAACAGTAATAATAAATTAATATCATCTAGAGCTACTAAATGCTCAATAAGATGTGAAAAGGTGTGTATTGTAACATGTACATTTTAGGGATATTTTGGTAGGAATGTTTTAATCTTCATCTTGTAAATAGATTATCAAGTCATATGATTTTTAACGATATTCAATTAATACTCATTACACTTAAATATAGTCACTTACTGATCTGAATCCCATCGTGGAAAAAAAGGGGCAAGAATGGGGGGAGGAGGAAGAGGTTTGTTCTGGTGATTCAAAAAATCATATTTATGACTGAAGCAAAAAAGGATCACTAAATCAAAATTTGATAGCAGTTCTATATGCTAATAGTCTAAAAACTTTTCAGACATATAACCCCCTTTGAAATGGCTAGCTACAGGGTTATGGTAGTACGTACACTACTGATAGTGAAATTGTCATCCTCTAGAAATAATTCACTTACCCCAGGCATAACTACCCGCTCAATGTCTCCAAACAAATCCTCCCATGACTCTGCAGTTTCTGGGGCAGATTCCGGAACTAGTTCACGAATATACCCAGGCTGCACGGATGGAAACACTGGCCGTTTTTGTATGTTTTCCAAGTAATCCGCCACAGTGTCCACCATTTCTTTCCCTCGTTGACGGAATTCGGCAGCATCCATTGTGACAGTAATTCTGTAGATATAAAAGGTGATTGGGTAATAAAAGAAAATTTTGTTAAATAAATATAGTGACTGCATGTAGTATAAATTCAATGATTTAGGCCATCATTAAGCATATTACAGACATTTACTAACTTTACATTAGCAATGAACTTCAGCAGTATTTTTACTTTTTGGTATCATGATGCAGGTATAATCACTGGGCCCTTTGATGCTTCATCACTCACACTGAGCTCAGCTAAACTGTCATCTCTTTCTGCCCTTCATCTTTCACTTCACACACAATTACGCTCCCTTAGCATTATACATTATACATTTTTTAATAAACCAGCTTTGATACACACCAGCATAACTTCTCCATGTCATAAAAAACATTGCCTTTGATTATTATAATTTTTTATAAGCAAATTAAGAGATATTTTGTTTTATACATTTTGCACGTATGATTTTTTTTTTTTTTACTATTCAAGCTTCCATGTTTGTATTTTCTAAGGATTTTATTTGCACTAAGCCTCAAACAAGGCCAAAATGCTGCTAAAAAGAAAAAAATCATATCTAAAAGGATCGACATATACTAGTATATTTTTAAGACTGAATTTTTTAACCACAAGTACAGCACTAAGTATAATGAGTATAATCTCTAGTTGTCTTCAACTCACCTCTACTTGTATTATAACTCTGGAATCCTGCCACCAACTGCAGTCTATACAGAAGACACTTGGTAAATGAACCATTGTAAACCTTAGAATCTGAAATCCAAGTAATCACAAAAATATCAATACTCTCCATTTCCTCTTTTATTGCTTCATTAATGGGGGATATAGAGTGGGATTGCTCAGATTCACTGTGTATTCAGAAACTTATGGTTCACCAGAAGCTGGTCAATAAGTCAAATATCACACAGAGATGTCAAGGGCTGCATGCTCATAATATAACTGTATGTTCATGCTATGTAATGTGGCAAAATTAAGGCCACAAGGAACATAATTAGGACGGCATTTTGAGATCTCATGTCATAATATATTAATTATTATGTAACTGTATGCTCATGAAAAGAGCAATAAGATGACATACCCATATAAGATCTCATGAAGTGGGTCAGCATTGTACACATCATCTACAGTACATAGACATATTACACAGAGAAGTGTCTGCAATTCCGCAATTAAAGGTGAAAAACTGATTGTTATATAGAGAATATTTACAGCAAGTTGGATTTGAGTGTTATATACCCAATGCTGAAAAACTGATGGTTATATAGAGTATAACAACAAATATGCTTTTATAACCAAGTTCAGTGACATAAAATCAAATGGGTGACATAAAATCAAAGGAAAGGTAGAATTAATTCCAATCTTAATTCAATTTATCACATAATTAGATAATTAATCATTTCAAAAATTCCTGCACCAAGAAGAAGCGTGTGAGAGGTGCTAATAAATAAGTTTAGTGTTAATCTGCATCAAAAAGACATTAATTTCAGAAACAAAAACACAGTCACAGCTGGTCTTCAAGTTGCAAAGAAAAAACAAAGCCTATCTGTAACTTTTAGAAAATGGAAAAGGCATTAATCAGGTTCATGACATCCTATATAGCTAGAGAAAAAATACAAAAAAATCACTTTATTCATTCAGCTAACTTAATTATATTTGAAAATTATCTTGCACCATCATCATGTAAAAAAAGCAAAAGACTAGCTATTAACAAATAAAAGCAAATGCTGTAAATTTCTACCTGGGAAGAAGAATCATTTCCTGCACAGCTTGAAAACTTAACATTAAAACACATAAATAATGATAATCAATACAATCTTCATTCCATGATGGATCAAATTGTGCAAAACGTAACTGTAGTCTGACGTGTTATAATCTTTTAATCCCATTCTGATCCTACTGAGCTGAATAAAATAGCTATATAAGTTTAATTACAAGTTAAATGCTGTTATAAATGAACTAATTGATTTAATTATAAAACATTACTATAACTGGTACATGTAATTACATTTACATAGTTTCACAATCATCAGTTGCTGCTGCAATCAATCTTTATAATATTCAATTATTTTTAAACCTCTCTATCCATAGTGTCTGCCTTAAAAAAAAGAGGAAAAAGTAAAAAAAAATCTTCCTAACAAGTTATATTTATATATTCTCTAATTGCGTGTACCAATTCCAGTCACCTTCCACCTACAAAATAAATGGTAACTATTAGTACGTAATATATAATGCAGAAATTGACTATCAATGTGTTAGCTGAGACATAACTCGTATGGCAGTCGCTTCACGCGCACCTGTCGCACTAACAATAAAACACCGTGCAATCATTGATTATTTTCAAACTGCATACAAACCCGTACTTTACGTCAAATCACCATGCTAATTATGCAAAGAAGTTATAAAGTCACGATCTCTTTTTCAGTGTACTTGCTAAAGAAGGGGTTCCTTCCTTTCTCTCACGATTTCATATCCCCGCGTAATTTGCGTGATTCATTTAAATTTAGGTCATAAGTGGCTGTATACAAAATTGAGATCGCTTAAGACTTAAGGCTTATAAAACTGTTGCAAGTATTAATTAAAAACAAGTAATACAATGTAACGGCTTGAGATACCGTATATATGATGTTTTCTAATAAATCATCTAGGTTAGATTTAAGTATTTATTAAAATTTGTTGAATATATTGTGATTTCATATCGCCTTCCCATCCTCTTCTTTTTCTACATATCCACAATTAAAAACAGTACGAGGAAGATTCGAAGAATAATACCACCAGTTTTTTTGCATATTACTGGGTTAAATTAGAGGCTTAAAGGTCGGAATGGACCACAGAGAGACTCTTGAAGATCGTTTGATCGAGTCGAGGCAAAAATTTGACAGAGCTTGCCAGCAAATAGTTGTCCTCGACCAACTAATTCGCGACTTGGAAGTGCGATACAAACGTGCCGTGAAGAACAAGAAGAATAGTTTCCGCTACAACCTCCGTCTCAAGCTTTCTGCCGTTACGGGGGTCAAAATGATGTATCACCACTACGCAAGCACGAAGGCTGATGAAATCAACAGAATGGCCCGCCAGCTGGGAAGACGACCAGAGAACTTGATGGACCAAAATTGACTTGGGCGCTCCATGCTGTTGTGGTGAAACTGAGAAAAATGGCGGACCATCTCGGAAGTATTGGACATCTCTCACTTGCGAAAAATTATGGTTTATAGAAAACCAAGTATCCAAAATTATGTTAAAGATATATTGCTCATTTAGAAAAATGGATTCTCCAAGACTAAAACCTTGGAACATGACTTTAAAAAAGGGTTTCAAATGAAACCCACAAATCTTCCCAGAAAAGCTATACCAAGTTGTTCATCTTAAAAAAAGAGAGAGAGAGATGATAATGTTCAGTGAATATTAAGGGGCTTTAGATGAGGGCAAGATGAGGAGGGCCTCAGACTTCCATTTGAATGTTTATTTTAAATCCAAATCCTCTGAAAAGTTGGTTTTTATTTTCAAACAGGTCTTGTTTCCCTTTCTTTCATTTAGGGACAGCATATATTAAAAAAAAAAAAGACAAGCTACTAATATCTTTTCTCTTTTGTACTGGTTTAAAATCAAAATCAAGTTAGGTATTTTTCTGCTTAAGCACTGCTTTTGTTATTGGGAACGTGGGAGCTTATATTATCCAGTTTCATCAACACTGGATTACATATAGATAACACTATTTAATGGATGAAATCGTTTAGTTATTCTCTGGCCAATTATCTTGTGAGTTCCGAAACACTACATACTTTATTTTTATGATATTGCTATCCAGTGGTAAAAAATGATTGATATCCTCAGGACAACTGCCCAGAGGAAAAAAAAACAGTTGTATACAATGGATGTGTGTCATCTACAGGATAGTGTTGATGACACTGGGCCCTGGTTATCCACCATATATGGATACCATTTACATGGGGGAATCACTGAAATGATAGTAGTAAGATGGCATCCCCTGTTCATTGGCATAGTAAGAGGAGTAGGGGTTCAGAGGATTCAGTTATTGGAGGGTTGTGTGATAGTCAAAGGTGGACTTACATGAAAGGAAAACCGCCTAATCCTTAAAGGTCTCTCTGCCTCTCACACGCCGTCTCTGCGGGGGGTATGCAGTCATTAAATCTCAGCTCCATTGGGACGACAATGGCATTTTAGTTTTAAAGCTTTGCTAGTTAGATCTTGCACTCCCAAACATTTACTGTGGGACACAATTAGGCCATTTGGTATGTAGGTATTCTAACTACTTTCTGTCTCCCGAATTTTTTTGAATAAGTACAGCATAAAAAAGTTAATCTTGTTGGTTATTGAATGGGTTTTTAAAACAAGTGGTCCAAAATAATGTGTGGAATGTATTGAAGGTCAGCCTCATGTGGAGTTGGGGTATATTTTAAGGATGTCTTAGGCTCCTAGCAGAGTGGAATGATAGCAGATGGAGACTTTGTCCTGAAGTCAAAGTGGCTGTTATAACATCTGACTATAAAACTGAATAAAATAAAATTAGGACATCATGTTACGTGTAGATAAGTCTTGAAAGTCTTCAAACTGTCCCTATTATCTGCATTTGTCTTTTATGATTGAAAAAAAGTTGTGATCGTTTAACAAAGCAGTTATATTTAGTGTCGGTCAACTCTCCCAGGGGAGATCTCAGCTAATGTCAACAATTGTCTAAAGTCTGTTAGCAATATTACATGATGATTTATTGATAAGTTTAATTATAAAAATGGTAACTTAATAAGATATTTAATAAGTTGATTAATTGATTATTAAAAATAAGAAGAAGAATTGAGCTGACTTGAGAGAGGTCTGTGCCTTCTGAGTCAGTGGCTGATGTAGGGGGGTGTCCTGACCCCCCCTCCCCTTTGATTTCGGAAAAAAATCACACCAATGGTCCCCTCTTGATATTAGAATTTTGACTAGCTGAATCAAATAGTTCTATTTACCGTACCAAATGGCTCCGACCCCCGCGCGACAAGGGTGAGGGGGGAGGGTCGCCTTTGCATCCGCGGCCCCCCCCCCCCCCCACCCCCACCTTCAAATTGTAACCTGGATCCGCATTCTAGTGGTCCTCAGCCAGACTCCAGTGATTTGCGGGAGCCCCGATAAGCGATGTTGTTTAGAGTCAAAAATTGGGTCATCTAACGTAGCAGGAACGTGAATCGAGGTGAACAACATAAATAGGGTGAAACGGGACTAGTCCAATGACACCAGGGACTCGGATGGGCGTAGTAGACATCTAACAGAAGTACACCGAAAGGTGAGCATGCAACACGTATACATATTGACTCAACTTCTCGGGTTCTGTAACTACATGAATATGTTTAATAGGTCCATGAACCGTAAGTATAGACTGGGTGCCTTCAATAGCATTATTAATGGTACAAATATTAAACGGCACGCACTATCCATCGGTGGGAGAATTCATCCACCATTGTGCCGTAGAAAGGGGCGGGGCGTTGGTCGGCGTGTGATAACTGTCTGTAGGTTTTCCTCTGTTGGCACTGTAAATGTCGTCACCCTACCCGTAAGGTATGTGATACGTCTCGCTGTCTCAGAGTCATGTATCCACAACATGGCATTCTGTAACGTTACTGAATAGGCCCTACTGTTTTTATTTTTAAGTTATTTCAAACGCTCTAGATCTGTACAATGAGCTTGTTAATAGTCGAAAAAGGAACTAAACCATCTGAATCCAAACGGAAACTCAGATAAACACGGGATCGATCGAGATGGGGATAATTTGTTAAGTAGTCAAAATCAAATCAACTGAGATGGTATAATCAAGAAACCAGTACCCATTCCATAACATTCCCGCGCCCCCCCCCCCTCCCCCAGGAACATGTCATCCCTTGGTTATATTTTTATTTTTATTTTTTATTATTATTTTTTTTTTTTTTGCAAGTCATCCCTACTAAATCAATGACTTGCACATTTTAAGTCGGTGCACTGGTCGAGCGTGAGGCATTTTACTTATAATTGTGCAGGTAAATAACAANCCCCCCCCCCCCCACCTTCAAATATTCCTGGATCCGCCCCTGATCACAGATTTCACGTAAAAATCGATCACTTTAGATAAACACTATCATAAATTGGTACTGTAGACCTTAATTATTTTTTAAATAATGATTTCGAGTGTTGTATACAAAAATTATGTTTTTATATTTGGTATATATATATATTTTTTTTTACAAAAGAAAATAATTTAAGTGCTCAACCAAGAGGTTGGTGGGAAGTGACAAACGAGAAATTATTGCCCACTTTTTCCTACGTTTATTCATTTATTTTTATATAAAACATACATACAGGTAAGGATTTGAATTAAGCATTTTGCCACTTAAATATTGTCTTATTTCATTTCAGGATAATTGTGAGCTAATTAAGCTAGCTTCATCATGTCTTCTTCAAGCGAGTGGGTGTTGTACTACTGGCCTCTGGCAGGGCGCGGAGAATTTGTGCGGCTGGTTTTTGAGGAAGCCGGGGTTCCGTACAAGGAGATCAATGACGTTGAATTGTTGTCCAAAAACTTTAAGAAAATCGATCTTCCGCCATCAGAAGACTTCAGCTTTCCTTGCTTTGCCCCGCCCGTGATTAAGAAAGGTGAGTTTAAACTCGAATCTCGTTGTTGTTTTAGTCACAATATATGTTATACCTTAGGCTATACCCACAGTAGATGAAACCATATCTTGGTTGAAGTTTTGTGACAGTTGTCGAATTTTGAGATGATCAACCAATACAGCTCTTTAAATGAAAAGAATCGAAAAGGATCTTGATTTCAACCAATTTGTGGACATTTATCATTTTCAGGTGATTTTGTCCTCAGCCAGACTCCGGTGATATGCGAGTATCTCGGGAAGAAGTTCGGGCTGTATCCAGATGGAGGCGAGGAGGAGGAGTATCACGCGCGGCAGTTTAACCTTACCATACATGACTTTATTGCTGATGGTAGGTCATAGGTCACTGATAGGGCATAGTGGGTAAAGAGAGGGTCTTCTATTCTGATATATGAAAAAAACGCCACCATGAACATGCTTCTACTCGCAGTAATACCTTCAAAGATCATTGATGTATCTACCGTGCGACGAAGAAGAAATTCATAGCACTGACTCTAAAGGGCCACTCCACGGGATTTTCCCGCCAAAATGATTTTTAGAGGTTCTCCCCATTTCTACCTACAACCATATTTATGTCCTGTTAAGCTTCTTATATTTCCTGATCCAGACTTTAAACGCTTAAAAATTTGCAAGTCCAACATTTGGCCTACTTCATACAAATACGACTAATAAGTCGGTCATATATTTCATTTTAACGCATTTCGATAGTTGAAAAATTATTACATTTCAGGACGCTTGGCATTTCACGGCCGCAATCATACAGAATCGTACTACACACAGAAGGAAGAGACCCAGACGTACATCGACTTCTTTGTGAAGAATCGACTTCCAAAGTGGCTGAGAAACTTGGAGCATTTGTTAAATGCTAACTATGGGAAACACGGAGGGAAAGGGTAATTAATTTAAATCAGCTGTTCGGAAAAACTTATAATATAAAGTTGTTCACGTTTCTGTCCGTATTTTTTAGTTTTGTTGTCTTATCACATTATTCGGAGAAAGTATACACATTGTGATCCTGACGTATGTGTGTTTGCTTCAGCTCTTAATTTTGTGGTTAAAAAATTTCGAAAAAGGCTCTTTCTTGAGGGGCCGTAGCGATAGTCCGAAGGTTCAATAGTCCGAAGGTTCATTGGTCCGAATGTTCACTATAGAACCTTCGGACCAATGAACCCTTGATTAAAAAATCGATGAAAATGTTACCACTTTTTGGACCAATGAACCTTCGGACCAATGAACCTTCGGACTATCGAGACGCCCCCCTTTCTTGATGCCATGTTCATTTGCACAATTGGCATTTTTTTTATTTTAAATGCCATCTAAGGGGGCAATTTTGCCACAGATACACATCAAAACATTCGGTGCTGTTAACATAGTTAATCCCACTGGAAACACTTGTAAGCACCTCCTATCACATTTTGTACAGCACTTTTTTTTGCATATAACACGGGGTAATTCCAATGCATTATTGAAAGAAAATTATATATTCGTCATTTTTTTTCAGAAATATAATCGTGTGCTTTGATGCCGAAGTTAACACTTCAGCTTGAGACTAGAGACATCTATTATACTTTTTTTTCTTTTACCAGGTATGCGATAGGCACCAAGATGACGTACGTAGATCTAGCTCTTCTCCATGTGTTAAGGGCGACCGAGTCACAATTTCCCGCGCCATGGGAAGAATTGAAGGGTAGCTTCCCTCTGTGTCGCGAGTTCAAAGAGAGAATGTCCCAAAGACCCAACTTAGCAGCCTATTTCAAGTCCGACAGGTGTCGCCCGTTTGAAGGCAACAGTATGATGTAGAATTGGTTGCTGTGTTGTCACTGATTTGAGATACGTTTATAGGCAGTGGACTCAACTTATAATGCACCATCAATGTTATATTAACATGTTAAACCAAAAAAAAAAAAAAAAAACTGAACTGCCATACTGCTATCACTGACTGTGGTATCGGGAAGTCAACATCTTCATGACCTGTACCCGTATAGGGTTAAATGCACAGTCAGTGTTCTTCTTCAGACGGTCTTTTTGGAAATGGACATTTTTATTTATTTATTTATTTATTTATGGTACTTTTTCATGCGGTTCAAAATTTCGTATAATTGTTTATTTGCCATATGTGTTTAATAAATTAATAATTGCTTATCATATGTGTATATTTCTCCAAGTACCGTTACAAATGCCGAGTCACAAAGAATGAGAGGAGAGCCATGCATTAGTAAGACGGTCAACGTAGTATTTCCCCGGAATATCGTCACTCAGTTACGGCAACGACTCCCATCTTTTTCATGGGGAACGTTGTGAATTCTACAAAACTGATGCTACATATACAAAGTCGTAAATCCTTAAAGTAAAGCATTCCTAAAGAGTGGTAGCAACAAAATTGAATTCTCTTCTATATTGTGTGTGTGTGTGTGTGTGTGTGTGTGTGTGGGGGGGGGGGGGGGGGGGGGAAAAAAAGTTTTTTAAAAAAAAAAATTTTAAAAGCACCCAAAATTTTTTTAATAAAATATTTCCCATTTAAAAATTAGGG